CTAACAATTGCTGTGGAGAAGTGAAGGGCAGCCATCTGCAGTGCTGTTCATCTGCCTCGTCCCACTTCTGTCTGAACGGATACTGAATTTTATTTACATTCACTAATCACTGTCTGTTGCTGAATGTGCTCAAATACGGAAACAACTTCGGCAGTCTTTAAATATTATTTAATCTCATATAAACGTTAAATTAGCAGACAGTGTTTGCTGTAAAAGATCTAATAATGCAGATGTTTAGCATAGCCATGACTTTAGAAATCACAACAAAAAATTGGAGGGGAAATGCTAGTTGAGCATTTGCTTGTGGAAATTGGCTACATTTTTCCAGACAGCAGGCAGATGAGGAAGATTTGCTATACCTGGGTAGCTCTGCAGTGTACAGAGTGGGCAACCTTCCTGAAGAGTCCTTGAAGTTTGGCTGGGCTGTATGGTTTTGAGTTGCTTTATTCTACATAGTTGCTATACACAAGCTGCTTTTTTCTCCTAATGTCTAATGATAGCTTGGTGGCACTGTAAAAACAACTGCCAGATTTCTGCAGCTTAGGAGATCCATTTCAGAAAGGGCATCTTCCTCATGCTGAGGGGTAATCCCCTTCTTAGGGGGAAATGTGGGCAAGGCAGCAAAAGCAGGCAACAGTAGCTGTGAAGGAAAAAAAAAAAAAAAAGATAAGAATTACATTGCAAGGCATTAGGTCAGATTATAGGGGAAAGAATGCTCTCTTGCTTCCATAAGCTAGTTTTGCAGCAAACTTCCTATCACCACAATACTTAGAAATCGATTCAGGTTTTATTGCACTATGTGTAATATGTACAAAGTGAGGAGAAATGCCTTCTTCAGTGAGGGTTAAGACAATCTCTGGGATGGATGAATAATACATGGCATAACAGATGCTGTAGTAAATGGGCAACAGAGAGGATGAAAATTAAAATGAGAGTTTTCAGGATTATCATTCTGTTCTTGTATTAAAAAGGGTGTGACCCTACAGATACCTTATTAGCTGTAGATTGATACTGTCATAAGTTTCTAATAGTACAAATGGATAAAGAGGAGCTTACAGAGGCCTGTGTTTTTGTCTGCTTTTTCCCAGCATTGATAGGTTGACTTAGCAACATGGTATAATACTTAAGCCTGCTTACTACGTGAGTAATTTTTTTTAAAAATAGTATTCAGCAGGGTACTAGACCCAGATGCAATCTGTGCTAGGTCAAGGGATGCGGAGGCTGTGGCTATGACAGGATCTGGTAGCTATTTATACAGATCACAATATTTATTATTCATATTTCTGTAAAAACTAATTATTCTAGGCCATGTGGTAGTCAGAACAGAAAGACATCTTTTCTTGACTTTAAAGACAAGGTGCAGGATTTGTCTCCGTTAACCTTGCGAGCCCTGAGGTCACAGCTCCCGCACGCTTTGTAGTCAATGAAGAAACAGAGGCACCTTCAAAGCACTGCTCATCCACTTGTCTCCAAACAGCCGTTTTGGATGCCTGTTCCTTTCACCAGTCGTAGAGGGAGCCTTGATCACCAGCTGACACTTGACATCTGTTTTCTAACATTTAAATTCAGGTGGGGCAAAATCCTGCCCATAACAACTGACTTGAGTAAAGGCCAGGGTCTTCAGTCCTCCGTACAGCAATCTAACAATATCTCCTTGTGGTTTCTGCTAGGCATTTAAACATATATTTTTAAAATTAGCAGATCTTGTTAAAAAGTCTGGATCTTGTCCATCTTTCATTCCTCCTCCAGGAAGCGTTGCTTTCTAGCCTCTGTAAAGAGATTAGAAATTCATGAGTAAAATGAAAAATAAAATGGTGCAGTAGGATTGTTGTTTATTTGGCTTCAAGTGGAACCAAAGTGTTTCTGGAAAAAAAGCCTAAGTGAAATTATTTATGGTGCAAACGCACAGCAGTTCCTTGAGACTAATACTTTATGGTGGGTGGGGGACAGTTACTGCTATGTAATTTCCACTAAATCACTTTCTTAGACACATGCCCTACCTTTGTGGCATACCAATGAATACCGGATAGCCTGTGAGTCTTTCAAGTTAAAGTTAGTGCTAAAAACAATATTTTCTCTCAAATGTGTTAGTGTATTGATATTATTAGTCCCACCTCTGCTAGCCTCTGGATATTTCCATTCTGAGGACCATCACCGAAACTAACTCTGGGTATGATTATTTGGGAAATATAGTATCAGTGGGAAAAGAAGAAACTCATGAAAATTAGACGGCCACATAATATCAGTACTGGATCACATGAAGAATAAAGACACCATGCCCCATTTCCATTTCATTCCTTATGCCAGGTGTTTTCCTCCATGCTCTCTTATTCAAGTGTTTTCTGCTAATAGGATGCGGCAATTAAAGTTAGAATGCTGTGTTCAGTTCTCACTGTTAGGGAGCCTGGATGTCTGGTTCATCCTTCCTGGATGGCCTTTTATCAATGCTAGGAAAACCATTGCAGTTCCCCACAACTGCAGAAGTAAACCAGGTATGCAAATGGCCAGGACAAGGGGTTTATCTCTGTGTTTGTTCATTTGCACCGATCAAGTTTGAGGCTGCTTGAGATGTACGCTCAAGCAGCCCTGATGACATGATTTATTACCCTTTATGTTCCCTTTTTCCACTGCCATGTTTTATTTTTTCTTTTTTTTTTTTTTTTCATTTACCAGTCTTATTCCTTTCCCACTGGCCACAATGGTGCTGATTTTACAACCTTACTCAGTATTTATGATAGGGTTGCCCTAGTAATTTCTGCCTCTGTCAGCAGTGCTGCTCATCTAGTAACCCTGTTTATGCTCTTTCTGGGTTGCTCTCTTGTTAGTGGAGCCTCAAGTTAAGGTTAGCCATCTGCATACGTATGTCTCCCTTTCTGCTGTTCCTTATGCCTTGTAATTTCTCTCATTGCCACCTTTCCAGTGTAGCTGCAGCCCAGGTTTGACAGGTTGCATGCAAACCCCAGCACCCAGAAGCCCTCCTGGTGACACTGCTTGTGGCAGGACCTTCTCCTTCGTCTACTCGTCTGAACTACCAGGGACCATCCTCATGGACAGCGGCAGATAGACCTTGGGGGAAATATCACACTTGGCCTTCTGCTTTCTGCTTGCCTTTCCCTTCTTAATAAGGCCACAAAATACAGGCCCATGGTTTGGCTATTAGCTGCATCTTTCAGCATATCGCTCTGTATTTCTTCCTTGGCTGCCTTATACTGGTGGCCCAGGAAAACTCTCATTAACTCTTCTCTCTGTAAAAAACTCTTCTGTACCATCCAATGGCCTGCTTTCTGGTGACTTCTTCCATCCCCTGAGCCATGTGGAGAAGCTTCCCAAAAAGGGGCAGGTATTATGTGCCAGCTGTCTCCTTGGGATTGTTCATCTCCCATTTACCCGGATTATTTTAGTGGCTACTTGACAGTAAAAACTGGTTGAATGGGAATGGGCATGGCTGTATTAAAAGGATCCAAAGAGAAGTGTGATCCCCTGCCTGGCTTAATTCAGGATGCGTCTCTCAAGACAATCTCCTGACAGCATACAAGGTCAGCCGTAGAAGTTTCTAGTACAAAGGCCAAATAAACAATTAAGTGTAACATCTTGCAGTTTTTCCCAATCAAGTGGAAAAGTGCTTTGTATAATGCCTGAAGTAGTTGCTGCTGCTATTGTCACTCACCTGTATGCTCTGTTTCCTCCTTGGGTGTTGCAGCTTACACGGCAGTAGCAGATTTTTTTTTTTCCCTAAGGTAGAAGGAAAGAAACCCAATCACTGGGAAAAATTCTAGACTAAGTAAAAAGACAATACATGTATATCTGGTTTCATTTATCTAGCTAGTGACAGTTTACATTTCTCTGCCACCAGACTATCATGTCACATTGCTGTCTGAGACACTGCCTTCAAACCACGCAAGTAAAAATATAATGATGAGGATTAGAATTAAATTTCTCTATCCACATAAAATGGTGGATTCCAGATATGGGTGGCTCTTGAAACGAAGACATATCGCCATGCTAAGTAATAGGAACTGTGCAGTACTTTATCTAGTAAAAAGAGAAATTTTCACCCTGAGCCTCATGGTTTGTTTTCCATTGAAGATTTAGTAGGAAAGAAGGTAATACTTAAGACTGAGAGAGAGAGAGAAAGAGAGAGATGATTCTTTGAGTTCGAGTTTGAACTAAATCCAGATTTCGAATGAGTGGGTTTTTTTAATTTTTGGCAGGGTCCACCATTTCAAGAAATGCCAATTTGCAGCAAGCTGATCATACTGTCACAATAACAGTGCTACGCAAACAAGATTTTTGTTCAGATACAATGTGAGGGTTGAGCAGAGATTGTCCTTTAAGCTGTCCTTGCAGGCAAAACCAGCCCCTGTGAAATTCAGCTTAGACCAGGACTTTATCAAAGAGAGAGATTTAACAAATCATTTGGCAAATATATTTAGAAGACCAAAATATGACTTTGGGATGCTCCTTATGTGTACTTTATTTAAATGTGGCTTGTCTACCCTGACTCAATTGCAATTCTGTTTCTGTAAAATATTTTGCCTTCAGTACAAATTGCTGAAAAGAATTTTCAAAATGTCAGTGTGTGTTAAGCACTTAGTATTCGTAGGATCTTCCGAAAAGCCCATCTGCTATGCAAATTAATATCTAAGAGTAATTTCTGAATGGGTATTCATAGAGGCATGGTTCAGAAAAACAATTAGCATATGTTTACCTTCCAGTGATTTCAGTAAAATATAGATTTTTACTTGAACACTTTATACAATGAGAAGTGATTTCCTGAGCTGAAGTTGTACTTATTGCAGCTAATTATATCAATATATTGTTTGCATATTAACGGATTTGATTTTTATTTGCTCTTCCCTTTGCCAAGTTTAATTCTCAATGATGGAAAACGCATTCATTCATTTCATTATCCAAAGATCATGTCCTGCATGATGGTGTTATCCCCACGGTGTGGTGTGCTCAGGAGTGTGTCCCCCTGACTGTCTGTGTGCTGTCCCTAGTGCACCTGGTGGACATCTGGAACGTGATAGAAGCACTGCGAGAAAACGCCCTCAACAACCTGGACCCCAACATCGAACTGAACGTGGCTCGCCTCGAAGCTGTGATTTCGACGATTTCTACCAGCTCAACAAACGGATGCCGACGATCACCAGATCAATG